TCTTCAGCTCCTCCATTCCCAACAATCAACAATTGGCAGAAGCCCTCAAAGCTCAATTCCAAGAAGTCTATGCCAAGGTTGATGGACTTAAACAATGGCTTGAGGAAGCTCCTCCGTTGCATCCCTCAAGAGGGGGAAGTGAAGAAGAAGAAGAAGTCTATCACTCTGAGCAATCCATCTCTCAACATCAGAGCCCTCCCATCATCACAGAAAAAATTCCCACACCGCAGCCTTCACCGCAACCATCTCAACATACTCCATCTCCTCACACTTCACCTTAAAAGGAGTTCACTCCCAACAAGCCAGAAACTCCTCCTCACTTCAAAAACCTTACGGAGAACATGTCATCTCCAAGCTCAACAGACTCCCCTGCCACCGCCCAAAGGAAACACGACTGGAAGGCAGCCAAACTAGCAGAGCTTATCTGGAGAGAATGCGGTTTTGATACCATGATGGATGAATCCTTGATAAATTCTTGGATCAATCCGCACCGCAGTCTGCTGGATGAAGACTACCGACCCCACCTTACCTACGTTGAACCCCCCTCGGACGGTTACTGGGATGTCCCAATATCTCCAAATGCCAAATACTTCACAGTATTTGAGCAATTCGACCGCAGCCTTCCTGACCACAAGAGACTGCCAATGGAGTTTGAGAGACTCAGTCTTTTTCACGCTAAACATGCATCCTCCATTGAAAATATATGGTCTAACGATAGACCATCCGCAGTCAAGAACTACAAAGTCCGGAAGTTCATGAAGGCTGACTACATCCAGTACACCCTCACGAGAAGGGAGCATGACTACGTCCGCACCCAGGCAGACTTCCCTTGCATGAATCCGGAAGAAATCTTCCTCATTGCCAAGGTGTTTCAAAACAAATCAGAAAAGCACCCCAAAATGAAGATTGTGCTTGAAAAGGCCAACACTTTTCTGAAGGAAAATGTCTGCGACTTTGCCAAGATAGATGCGGATATCTACCCCACCATCCTCAAGAAGTTTGACCTCCCACCTCTTGAACCTGCGCCAATGACTACCGAAGGCTTTCAAGAAAGATCCTTAGGCGCAACAAACTTTCCTGAACTTGGAGTCATATTCAAAAGGAAGACTGACAAAGTCAAATATTTCATTCCTGTGACTGCCATGCATCGCCTCACAAGAAAGGAGCTTGACATCTGCAGAGTCGGAGTTGAAAGATCGAAGCATACTACCGCAGAAGTCAAATTCGAGATCTTAAGAAGGATCAATTGGCTGGAAAACATCAGGAAGTTTTGGTGGATCCTGATCAAGTTTCTCAAACTTGATAGTTGAACCGAAGTTAAAGAGGTCACTTAGGGGGAAATTGTTGAATCATAAAAGTGACCCTCTTGAACTTCAGCTACCGCAACCATTTCTGCTACCGCAACGGTTCAGCACCCGCAGTCATCTTGTTCATCAGCAACCGCAACCGCAACCAGAGTCAATCTTCCGCAGTCAATTTAGCTAGATTACTTTACTTGTCTTTATTGTAATACACTTTATGGACCAGTATGCCTTGTATGGCTACTCATAGAGATGTAATCTAGTGTTCTTCATGAGTCTCTATAAATAAGAGCTCATTCTCTTGTATTTGATACGGATAACTTATGCATTCTATCTGAATACACATTTCTTAAGTTATCTTTTCTATCTCTCCATTACTCATCTCTTTCTACTTACCAGAATTCATCTGAATATAATCTCTCGTCGGAGCAAGTCTTCTGTGACTTAATCACTAAGTTTGATCTTCCTTATTAACTTGGTTTGAATGCATTCCTCGTTATGAATCAACTTAAGTGTATACTTGATATAACAATTGTTGTCATTTCTATTTCTTTACTTTTCCGCAACTAACTCTCTAACTATCTAACTATAACTTATTTATATTATTGTTGAGCTTTTAGATCCTTTGAGATTAACTATTTCGCAATCTACTTGTTCTAACATTTGTTCAAGTGTGTCTCTAAGTTTTTCTCTCAACAAATTCTGTTTCATCTGAGGTATAAAGTTTCAACCTTGTCCATGGCATGCTTAGATCTAGTTTTAGGATGTTTTCTTTCATGATTTGGTCAAAGTATGTTGATGATTGGGATTTGGACGTCCTATTTGGGCAAACCCTTCAGATCTAGGGTTTTGAGGGGACTTCATGGCATAAAGGTGCCAACTTTATGGCCATGGAAGTCCCAGACAACTTTTAGACCATCTTTTTAGTCTTTTAAGCCCTATGGGGTCTTGCATTCATGTAAAGATGGGAGCTTTATGTGACCACATTGTCGCTTGAGTCTAGATCTATGACCTCATTGTCTGTCTTGAAGTATTGATGGAATTTGGAGTTGAATCTAAGCCATTTTAGGTTAGGGTTTGAGTTTTATGCATGGGGAGAGGTCCCTAGCGGGTAAAGTTGGAAACTTTACACTTCTATGCGTATTTCCAGCTTGGATCCAGAATATATAGGGCCTTAATTTGAAGAATAGGGACTTAATGTATTAAGAGGTGTTAACAGACTGAAGAACTCGACGAGTTCAGAGAATGATTGGACGAGTTGCATTCAGGAATCCCAATTTTGTTGAAAAGGAAGGACTCGACGAGTTCATGGAAGAAGTTGATGAGTTGGATCGCGACTTCACGATTTTGTGATTCTTGGGAACTCGGCGAGTTGAAGGGTAAACTCGACGAGTTGAGTCAACTCGGAACGTTGACTTTGATTTTGACTTTGACTTCGACCAAAGTTGAACCTTAAGGGGTTATGAGTATAAAAGGGTAATTAAGGAAATCTTTTATGTGTAGGGGTTTGAGTTGGGTTGATATCCGGTCCCGGGGATTGTTTAGCTACTTCTAGTTTTTTAGGTGAGTTACCTTTCCTGTATGAGTGGGTCGAAGGCACCAATGTCGGCTCATTAGTAGATGTTTATAATAGAGATGATTTTCTTTGTGATAATTGTATGGTATGTCCTATCTGTTATGATTTATGTGCTTAATTTCTATGATATTATGTGGTAGTGGTAAGGGGGAAATATACCCAGTATCCGGTTGAAATAGACCGTAGGGGAGGCCAGCACCCAGATATGCTCGACAAGATCCGGTTGAAATAGACCGAAGGGAAGGCCAGCACCCAGATATGCTCGGCAGTATCTGGTTGAAATAGACCGAAGGGGAGGCCAGCACTCAGATATGCTCGACAGTATCGGGTGTGAAATAGACCGAAGGGGAGGCTGGCACCCATATATGCTTGGCAATGTATTTTTTGTATGGTATGTGATATGATGGGGGAACTCACTAAGCTTCGTGCTTACGGTTTTCAGTTTTGGTTTCAGGTACTTCTTCTTCGAAAGGAAATGAGCCGACATGATCGCAGCGCATCAGACCATGTTTTCCGCACATGACAACTTTGGGAGTGAAACTCTGATGTTGTTTTATTATGACATGTTTTAATTATTGACATATTGGTTTTGATATGGGATGACACCATGGATGTTTTCAGACTTTTTGTTTTATAATTAATTAATTAAAAATGAAATTTTGGTCTTAAATTTTGGGATGTTACACACTTCTTGTGCACGTGAAAGGACCAATGTATTGAAACAATCGGTAATAATTTTATAAACTAAAATATAGTTGGCATGTGATAAAGACCAAAATATGCAAAAACATACCATAAACTTAATAAGGCGAGTATGTTTCCACCGAGATGTTGAAGATTTTGCTAACAATACTCACCTTTCAAACTTCTACTTCACATAGAATAAAAGTATGGTCAATGAAATAGTCAGTGGAAGCAAAAATCATCACATAGAAGCAAAGTATATGACAGATGATAAAAAAGACCATCAATAATTTCTCCAAAATCAACAGATAGCACAAAAAAGCCAAGAAACAGTTAAGGAAGGAAGATGTGTCGTAGACGGTACTCTAGGGCCATATAGGCAATAATCAACGATGACATAATGGTTTTCTTTCTTCTGGAAACAGTTGGGAGCGGTTGAGAGCAAAGGGTAGAAGAAGAAAAGGGGTACATGGATTCAAAATAAAACGACATAAAATCAAGAGCCATAAAAATTGATTTGTAGGCTGTTAAATGGATGTAAAAGACTTGCGGCTAGAAGGGGGCGGAACGTAGGGATTGGGGAAGTAGGACAAATGAAGAGTTAATTAATAACAAACAAGTAGAAAGTGAAGAAGATGTACAAATATAATATAGAGGAATCGACGCTATTTACAGTGATGAGGGGAAGAATTCAATTTTCAAAAATTGAATCTTTTGGGAAGATCGCGAGAAGAATGCGAGAGGCTGTAACTGCAAGCCAGCTAAGTTTCCAAAATACTGATAATTATGCCCTGATTTAAGGATTGAGTTTAATTTGGTTGACAATATGTATGAATGTAGGAAACGTAAGGAATAAAAGGTTAAAAGAGTAATTTAACTTAGCATTTCACAAATATTATTGACATGACACGTACATTTACCACTATTTTATTAAGATATATATATATATATATATATATATATATATATATATATATATATATATATAAAAGTTCAAATAAAAACAGTAAATAGTGTGAGAACGTAAAAACATTATGTTTATGTTATTATTCTGTAATTAATTTTGTATATGTGTATTGTTGAAGTAATTTTAATATAAATATTAACTTTCGATTAGTCATATATTCATTACAATGTTATTATTGTATTATAACCTTATTTTGTGGATTTTTGTAGTAAATTCTAATTTTAATTTTAACCTTTGACTATTTATTTATTATTTGCTGAATAATGATATAAAGTTGTCGATACAAAATTAATTACAGAATAATAACATAAAAAAGTGTTTTTACGTTCTCATACTATTTACTGTTTTTATTTGAACTCTATATATATATATATATATATATATATATATATATATGCCATGTTAGTAAATAAGAACAGGGGGTTGAACAGTAGTATCATCGACTAAATTTCTTAAATCTTCCTGTGACAAGATGTGCGATGATTGTACTACTGTCAGTTTCAATATGATGGTCGTCGTCGCGTTAATCGTTCTTTTAAGTTTCTACTCATTTCCAAACCCCCCGAAGCTCTCTATAGAGGAATTCACGATTCAAGCCTCCACCAACTCGTCAGACCCGACCGCAGGAAACATCTATTTCGACCTTAAACTCAGAAATATGAATAAGGCAATCGGTCTTTACTACGATGACCCGTTAAGCATTGCCTTCTTTTATTACCCATATGATGATCCTTACCAGAAATATGCGTGGGCAGGCACTCTGGCAGGCTTTTACCAAGGTAATGGCAAGACTAAGCATATCAAATCATTCATGGGGAACGACCTCCAACTTCCATCTACGGTGGTGGTCGACCCAGAAGAGCACATCCAAGATCTTGTAAAGACTAATCATGTGAGATCCCTGCTCAAGGACCACCTCCAGCTGCCATCTACGTTGCCAGAGACTCGTCGGGACATGGTGGGTCGGTTACTGGCTTTGAATATTAGGATAGCTGTGATTATTAGTTATAGATTCAAGTACTGGGTCGGATCATCTAGCCATCAACTCCAGCTGGGTGGTAATCTGTTGGTTGACCTTGACACTGGTGAGATGATTTCACCTGCTAGCATTGACTTGGTAGAATCCGCATCCGCCGCCGGAGGACCAGTGATGCTCGTGGTACTTTTTACTTCGTTTGTTCTTACTATGTGTTTTTAAATGTAGTTAAATTGTCCGCTTGTACTGGATCTAGATGCGAACTTTATTTAAAATAATTGTAATTTGTTGTAGTTTCACTTTGGTGAGATAACATTAATTTTAGAGTACATTACACAACTGATCCTTGTGGTATTATGTTAGCTTGTTCGTTTAGTCCTTAAGTTGTGTTTTTTTTTTATTTTTATTATTATTATTATTATTATTATTATTATTATTATTTTATCTGTGGAGTTCTTAATTGTAAAATTTGTTGCAGGCTTGGTCCGTGCAATACGTATAAACACTATTTTGCTTACTAATTTTTTTAATTTATTCTTTAATTGTAGTTTATTTTGGGGTGGAAATTGTTGAGTAGTGAAATTTGAATTCACGACACAACAAAAATATACGATATGAAACAAAATTTGGACGAAATTGAAATTTGAATTCGTGTCGTGTTCGTGTCGAGTGTAAAAAACACAATGTCGTGTCGTGTCGTGTTCGTGTTCAAAATTCGACACGAAATTAACACGATTTAGCATTTATTTTCCGTGTTTCTCATGTTATGTATGATTAAATATTAATTAAATAAACTAATTGTTATATTATTTTTGTCGTGTTTGTCGTTTTTTAATTGGTTCATTTTTGTGTTAGTTAGAAAAAAAACACGACATCGTATCGTGTCGTGTTCGGGTTACATAAAATTATCTTGTCGTGTCAGACAAAAACACGTAATGATAGCCCGATTTGGCGCCCCTAAGTTTATTTTTTAAATTGGTATATTAAATGAAATAACTCATACCATTTCCTTTTTTAACATCCACACTCTCCTTTTTACATTGTATTTTCCGTCAATGACCATTAACGGTAACCATTGAGAGCATCTCCAACCCATTCCTATTTTTCATTATTTCCTCCATTTCATCCCCCATTCTTCTCGAATCTTACCCCATTTATGCCTCCATTTTTAGGAAAATGAATAGTATAACACCAAAATATGGTGTTATACTATTCATTCCCCGAAAATTGGGATAAACTTTGAGTTGTCGGTTTTAGTCATTCTTTTTGTATATTTATACATTTGTAGTTTATTTTTATCTACTAATAATAATTAAATGTAATATTATTCAATACCTAGAATATTGTGTTATATATTAAATTATATTAAATAATTATAAATATAAAGTTTGTTCTTTGTTTATCAAATTCATATAAAAATTTAAATACATATTTAAATTTTAAAACACGATAACGTATTTTACAAAAGCTTATAGTTAAGTATTATAAATATAATTTTATTTATTTAATATTATTGTAATGAAAAAAAAATATAGATTATATATTTGTTAAAACCAAATTAGTAGAAAGGGTGTGTATGATAATTTATATAAGCTGGAAGATTGAAATATAGTAGGAATATACATTCGATGACGTATTTCACTCACTACTCTACTCCCTTAATTCTCTACTGTAGACGATATCAATTACAAAGGGTTCAAATCCAAAAAATAATAATAATAATAATAACCTCTTTCCAATCTCCACTCGCCTCTCTCGTGCCTCATCACACCACAACCACAATTCAACTTCGACATTGACAGCCAGTCGCCCGCTTTACCTCCTTCAACCACCACCGATACAAAGAACAAAATAATTTCAATTGAAACGTCAAAATCATCAAAACCAGACTTCATCGGGAATAGAAGGGAAAACAGGGATCAGGGAGATCGCTAGAACAGTAGGTCAAGAAAGGGATCTGTTTGTTGCTTCGTCGGGGTGGATCTAGTTCGTTGAAAGGAGACTCGAGGACTAGTAGCAAGTAAACAAACAGTCATTGGCACATAGAGGTTTTCCCGACGCTATCATTGTTTTATGTCATTATCGTTGTTCTCTAGTGATGGCCACCAAAAAAGCGGGGTTGTTGATTAGATCGATTGTGGTGGTCGACAGTGGATTTAGGCGGCAGTCATGAAGAAGAAGACGGAGAGGGTGGTGATAATGATAATAGATCTAGGATTGATTTGTTAAAATAAAAATGTTTATACTCAAAATACCGTCAAAGCATACGAGGGGCGGGGGTGGGGGTGGGGTGGGGGTTTAGATTCTACTTAGGGAAAATGATTTTTTTTTAATTTATTAATATATAAATCATAAATTTAGTTACAAAAGAAATATATAAATAATAATATTAATTATAAAAGAAAATAATAAGGGCATAATAGTTTTTGGGTCAAACAACAACTAAGCGCGCAACAAAAACATGTAATTAGTACAAAATGTGCAATAAATCTGTCATTTAAGGACGATACAAATGAAAAACCTAATTTAGGGACTAGACACACAAGTAGCACAATACCACAAGGACCATTTGCATAATATACTCTTAATTTCATCCAACACAAGTGTTCTTATGGTCTGGAATCCAAATTTCTATTGTTACTTGACACCACTATAAATATAAATCAGTTAAAGGCCTAATTAAATCAATTATATAACCCGGTTTTGCATCCGGGTTGCTGAATCATTTTTTAGATTGTTCCTAGATCCCGATTTTGAATCGGATCATATAAGATTAAAAGAACACGGTTCCCATCCAAAAAACGCGGTTGTACAAGGTGTATACTTCAATCTAGATACATTCATTTGTGCTTCTTACTTGAACATCCTCACTGATATAAAGTTAGATGTCACCATATCACATACAGGGTTGTCACTATACTTTACAACAAGTTTGTTGAAGGATTTTTTTTATATGTAAGGAATTTCTATGTTTTCTTAGTTAAATTAAAACCATTAAGTCCCTGTGACACATGCAATAAATAGCACTCTGCTACTCGCACACATATACATGAGAGAAAGAGTAAGAGACTTGGTTGTAGTCTTTGTGATTTAAAACTTGAGAAGATGGAAGTGGTGCTCCTAAAATTCAATGAGATACAATACTCATTTGACTAATACCTTGGCATTCTCTCAAATGAAAATCACAACTAAATTACATTAACAAAATATCACTCGTAATATCAAGTTTCACCCAAACAAGTTCAATAAAATACTACTAGAGCTTAACATACCATTACCTCCAATAAGAAAAGACGATAGTACTTCGACTATCATGTCGTACAACTCTAAATATAAACAAACTATAGAAGTTTAATTATGAAAACCACTTCCAATACGATGGGTGAGCAAAATGATAATCCAGATCAATGTGTTTAGCATGTTTGTTTTAGACTGGATTTTGTGTCATGAAAAGAGAACTTTTGTTGTGACAAAGAAGAGTGGGACAGTTAGGTGGCAAGGCATGAAGTTCCCTTAAAACACGAGTGATCCAAATGCTCAGCAGTTGTATTTTCCATAGCACGATATTCCGATTCACTACTGGATCTGGAGACAGTTGGTTGTTTCTTAGCACTCCAAGATACTAAGTTGCCACCAAAAATTATAGAATAGCCATATGTGGAGCGTCTGGTTTCAATGCAACGATCCAAATCATCATTGAAGTAACCTAAGATAGATTTTGTATGTGGACGACAAAAGGTAAGCCCAAAGGAGATAATACCTTTAACATAACATAAAATACGTTTAATGGAGGAACTGGCTAGCTTTGTTGACTACATATGGAATATCCGACCTTGTGATGGTCAATTATTGGAGGGCTCCAACTAAAGAGTGATAGAGACTAATATCTTTAAGTAGAGACCCATGAGAGGTGAGGACTTGATTAGTAGTAAGAGGGGTAGGAACAGGTCTAGAATCCAGATGATCAGAATGTGTCAGAATGTCTATGGCATATTTGGATTGACTAAAGAAGCGACCATCATCGATGTAGCTTACTTCAGGCCCAATAAAATAATTGAGATCACCTAGTCTTTGATTGAAAATTCACGATGGAGACGATTGGTGAAGGTATTAATGATATATTCGTTGTTTCCAGTGGGAATAAGGTCGTCCACATACACTAATAAGTAAAGAATACAGGAGTTTCAAGCATAGACAAATAAGGAAGGATCAGCAAGGCTGCAAAGAAAAGCATTGGAAAGTAGAAAGGTATACAAGCGATGAAACCAAGCTTGTGGGGCTTGCTTAAGACCATATATATCATTAGAGAGTTTGCAAACATGATTAGGATATTATGGATCAACAAATCCGGATGGTTGCTCCATGAATACAGTTTCTTTCAAGTATGCATGTAGGAATGCATTTTTAACATCTAGTTGGTGATGATGCCATTTGTTAAGTGTTGAAAGAGAATGAATAATACGTACGGTAGTGACTCTAACAAATAGGGTAAAAGTGTGAGTGTAATCAATACCTGTAATTTATGTAAAGCATTTAGCAACTAACCTTTCTTTAAGATGTTCAACCGTGCCATCTGATTTGTATTTAGTACGGTAAATCCATTTGGAACCAAAAATATTTGTAGCAGAATGTCGAGGAACTAGGACCCAAGTATTGTTGTGCTTTAAGGCATCCGTTTCTTCATGTGTAGCAGTCCATTGAGGATGTTTGGCTGCCGATTTGAACAAGTTAGGAGGAGAAGAAGAAAAAATGGCAGCATGTAGCACATGAATAGAAATAGATACAAAATCAGGAAGATATTTGGGCTTGAATATGCCTGATTTTGATCGAGTGTTCATCGGATGAGAGCTTGATGGTTCACGATGAGGAGATGATAGATGTACTGGTGAGACTTATGGATCACGATCATCTAGAATCACCGATGTGGTAGCGTCGATGTTTATTGGAACAACTATAGGAACCCATGAGGGGTCTGTTTTGGTCCGACAAACAGAACAAGGACTAGTAGTCCGATTAGGCCCAAGTGAAGTAGGAGCTAGATCAAAGCACTTGGAGAATTTTGCTTCGATGAGTATCCAGGTGATGCATTAGAAGCATCATCTTCATTAAAGGGGTATAGATCCAACTTGGAGAAAACTTTGTATTGAGAATGATAACCATGGAAGATGAAGGGAAGAAAGCTTGTATGTTGAATAATCTCTTAAGTAGGGATAAACTTGATA